TACTCCATAATGTAAATCAGGATCAATAATACCACTAGATAATAATTGCACAGATAAATTATTCATGATTGAAATAAGTTTTTATAGAATTTATAGATATAAAATAAACACTTTATTATTTTTTTAAGAGTTTTTTAAAAAAAAAAGTAATAGAATATATTTTTTTTTAAAATAAAAATGTGTAGTTTTGGTTTTGATCATCAATCAATTTTTAATTTGTTTAATATCCCAGATCTACATATTAAAAATCTATCATTGATCGATGGACCACGAATTAATTATTTTACATTTTGTTTACATGTTTTTTTTTAAAATTAAAAAAAAAAGTCTTCAATTTCAGATGATAAAAAAAGAAAAAGAAATCAAGAAAAAGATCAAGATGAGAAAGAAGAGTAAGTGTTTATCATAAAAATGGTGGTTATTGCCACTCATAGTCACTCTAGTTAATATAATAAATTTTTTTCAAAAAAAAAAAAAAGAATCCAAGAAAATGTTTAGATGAAATCATAAAAAAAGTATTTCTCAAACTGTTTAACAAAATCAATGATACGCTAGTATCTTGAATGATAGTGATGCCACAAACTTGCAATCTATTGCATCTTTGATTAATTCACCTGAACCTGTGGAAGGTCACAAATGAGCTCATGGAAATGATGAATCATTAGGAGGTAATAAATTTAAATTTCACATAGCTTTAATTTAAATTTATTGATAACAGCTTTTTAAGATTCATTTATTTATTTTCTGAAACACAAATGATGATAGTGGATAAAAATAATGATAAATTGAATTTTGGTGAGAAGTATACATGAAGTTGAAATTAAAACCCCAAAGTTGAAATGTTTTGATTTGAGGCAACTACATAGTAAAAATAAGTTTTGACCTTATTTTGACCCTATTTGACCAGATCTGCAAATGGTCAAAATAGTTTTGACTTCATGTATAGTGAGAAGGTATACTAGCAAAAAAATATTTATGATTATATTTGATTATTTATTAGTTGTTTTTCTGCTTTAACATCTTATCTAATGTTCTTGGGAAACAAAGTCAGCACCTAAAAAAACATGCATTTTAGAATGGAATCTTATTGAGGATTTAAAGACTGTAATTAATAATGTATGTAGATGCAAACTTTTTTAAATAAATATTCTTTTGATGTACATGTGATGTATTATATAAAAGAATTAATTGCTAATATCTCGGAAAAATATTTTTTGTTAATTGCAGGCCTTTAAATTCAATATTCCTCATGGAGGAAAATTCAACATGTGTAAAATTAGATATATCATTATCAATATGTCAAAAGCTGTCAACATGTATAAAATTTTTGAAAATTTTTGAAAAACAAAAAAACGAATAACCAAATATTTTCAATCAATTTGCTGCTTCTTCTATTACCACCACTGCTGCCACTACTGTTCCTACTACCACCACTACTGCTGCTACCACTACTCGTTCTCCTTCTCACACTTGTCAGTTAGTGCCAATCCAAGACCAATTGAATGAACATTTGAAGATAATAGTAGCATTAGAAGAACAATTGCAGCAATCACAACAAAAACAACAACAATAACAACAACAACAACAACAACAATCAACATTGGAGCATCAACAACAACAACAACAACAACTATTATCATGCCAACAAAACCATTTTTATGTTTTTATTTGTTTTTTTCATTATTACAATATTAATGATTTTCTTTTTAATACTCAAATAAAATAATTAATTGACGATCTGCAAATAAATCAGAGAGTCATACATAGTGATCAATGGGGGAAATTTCTCAAAAAAAAATGACCAATTGAGCACCTTTGGATGAAAAGTTGTGCTATACTTTTGTTCCACTACATAAATTTTTTTTGTACCCACAAATAAAATAAATCCCAAAAAACATATTATCATTTTTTTTTTGCCCTTACTTAAGTTAAAAAAAAAAAGTTTGCTCATTAGCAGCTGTGGATTTTTAAGAAGTTTTCATATAAAAATTTTTACATTTTCCGTGTAATGGTTATAATTTATTGTCCTTGAAAATAGGGGGTGAGATGTTAGATATCAAGTAAATTGATAGCTGAGTAGCAGAACCATATTCCAAAACTCTTATTCTTCGATTGAAATCATAACCATGAAAATCAAAACTCCAATATGTAATGATTCCCTCGAATCAGATTTTTTTGAAAATTTTACATAGTGAAATCTTACATAGCAAAAAATCAAGCAAATTATTAAAGCATACTATTCAAACCTTGTGATCTGAAGAGATAAAATTGTAATTATTTTTTTCTTGAAGAAATCTTAGATAGGATGCATTCCATTGCGCACACTGATGGCTGGTTCATTGCAGTAAGAATTGCTTCTTCAGCCGACATACCAATAATGTCACTAGCAAATTGCCTGGTTGGTCAACAGTGCAAGTAATTATGTTCTATAAGCAAATTAACTCGTTCAGAGCCAATTGCTTCAATTAAGTCATTTTCTAAAATCCTCTGCCTTCACTATTGCTTCCATAGTCGTGATTAAATGTGATTTTTCCCAGAGTGGTGGATGAGGCTTAACTGGAGATTTCAAGCTCTCAGGATAAAGATCATGTATCAATTTACCATATTCTGATTCATAAACTGAAAAGTCATAATCTGTAAAATATATATTTTTTTTAAAACATTAAATTTTTAAAGTTAACAAAAATGCTCACATCCGGAAAATATAAAAAAATTTTACACGTGTCAATTGTAAGTTTAATAATAAAAAAGTGTAAAACTTACGTCGGCACTGTAAGATTTACACAATATTACGTCGGCATCGTAAGATTTATGCAAGTTTACGCTAAATTAATTTCCTGATGCATCTTTTAAAAAAAGATAAATTTAATATATACCTTCAAGCTTTCCTTTGTAAATTTTGTATTCTGGAACATACATATCAATAATGAGCATTCGTGTACCTGTTATTCTGCAGATGCGGTCAAATTTGCCTCTGAGTTCTTTGCATTCTTTTTTAAACAAAGAATACCATATGTGAGCATTCAGTACATAGAAATAAGATGAGATCAGTAAATTCCATACCATATTTATGAAGAACACTCATTTCAAAATATTCTTCAGCATCTTCCTTACTCAAATCTCCAACAACATATGGGGTTGCATGTGGGATATGCAAAACTATTGCAACAAATGTAGATTAAAGAATGATAGACCTTTACATTGCTACCGAGCTAAATATAAAATTGATTTACGATTTACAATCTAGTCAAAAAAGAATGAATCGGAGGAGGTAAGTACAACATGGAAGTGGTTCTCCTGTTTCGTGTTCACCACAAGCCAGTTTAGAATTGAATTGAGAAGAACTTTTCCCTTTTTTTGAAATCACAAGTTGGCTAAACATGTTTACTTCGGCAATAATCAAAATGGGTGGAGGTATGTTATAACCTTTCCGACAAGTCCATTTCGGAAGGGCATTATCGATATTATCAAGCAACTCTATGACATCATTAGAAGTAACCTCTTTCTCATTAAATTGACCCTCACCAAATGGTTTAAATTTTAACTGTAAATCGTCTGTCACAGCGCTGATTTCCACTTGTTGAAGCATTTTTGTCAAGAATTTCATATGTTTCTTGAAAAATGTTTGGAGTTGTGAAGAAATTGAGTTGTATATTGTCTTTGGTGTGTTAAAATGTCCTTTATGGCAGTCGATAAAAAGAGGATTGAAATCACCTTTACTCATTACCTTGCGGATCAATGCAGTTTTTCCACTACTAGAAGAACCTAGAACAACATGAAGTTTTGGATCAGGAGCACTAAATGCATTTTTAAACTTAACAAGTTTTTGTTTCCGATTGAAAAAGCTCTTTTGTGTTGTATAACGAGCAACATAGCCATTACTCGGCGTATTTGAAATACAACTACCACCAGTAGGCAAGCGTTTGAAGGATTTAGTTAAACTGAAAACAAACATAATAGAAAAGATTTTTACATAATTTGTGCAGGAACAATTATTATTATTATTATTATAACCAAATTACTGGGTTTTTTTTCCTACCAATACTAATTGTGGCAACCATTAATTCGATTTAGTGTAACAAGTAAAACGTTAGTCATAGATTATTTAAAAGCAAAAATTTTTAAAAATATGGAAGTAGATTTACTCGATTTAGAAGAAGATTTGTTAGATCAAGACGATGAAATGATTGATGAAAGAGAAGAGGAAGGGGGAGAAGAAGAAGAAGACGACGATGACGATGATGAAAATGTTGATCAAGAAAAAGAAAAACAAACTGCAGATATGAAAGAGATCAAAGATGTTAGAAAAGTAGCAAAACTACTTGGCTCAAAGATATTAAAAGATATTTTGGCTGTTAGTATATATTATATATGTGTGTTTCGTTTGAATTTAATCGAAATAACATGCATGAATTTTTTTTTAAAAAAAAAAAATCATAATGATTTAAATAATAGAGAATAAAACAACTTAGGCATACGAACAGAACTCAAGCACAAATAATTGGTCCTGTGGAAGAAGATCCAGAGTATGAACTTATAGTTCAAGCTAATAATATAACCGTTGATATTGATAATGAAATATTAGTCGTACATAAGGTATAAAAATTTTAATTTTTTTTGGTGGGAAAAATAAATAACATTTAACAATAACAAATAATATTTTTTTGTTATACATAGTTTATAAGAGATCATTATGCAAAAAAATTTCCCGAATTGGAATCATTAGTTCTTAATCCTTATGATTACACTAGAGCAGTTAAAGCTATTGGAAATGAAATGGTTAGTATTTATTAATTTTTATATTAATTAATTAATACGTATATATGTATGCGTTACATTCGTAGGATTATTCTATATCGTTTTTTTTTAAAAAAATAGACAAAAACATTTACCAAACATCAACAACACCATCATTGGTCCAATTTGCATTATTTTATAGGATTTGACTAAAATAGATCTGAGATCGATTCTTCCATCTGCTACTGTCATGGTAGTAACTGTTACCGGATCAACAACTAATGGTCAACAATTAACAGAAGAAGAGAATACAATCGTGAGTGATGCATGTGATATGGTATTGGAATTGGATTCTGCTAAACGAGAGGTTTGTAATTAATTAGATATGCGCTTACTTGTTTATTTGTTTATTTACATTTTTATATTTATTTTAGAATGATGGATTATTTAAAGTTATATAAATTCATAAATAAATAAACGTATTTATATTATTATTTATTGTAAAGATATTAGAATATGTTGATTCTCGTATGACACTTATTGCTCCCAATCTATCAGCGATTGTTGGAAGCACGACTGCAGCCAAAATATTAGGACAAGCTGGTGGATTAACGGCTCTTTGTAAAATGCCGGCTTGTAATGTAATGCTTATTGGTACACAAAAAAAGTTGAACACCGGATTTTCAAATGTGACAGCACCTAGACATACGGGATATTTATACCAATCAGAATTGATTCAGAGAACGCCGACTGATTTAAGAACTAAAGCTCAAAAGATTGTTGCTGCAAAGTAAGAAGTAACTTGCTTGTTCTTGATTATCAAATTGATGATCGTTCATTTGGCATTTTAAGAAACTCTTATTTTTAATATGTGATTTTAGATGTACTTTGGCAGCAAGAATGGACCGAATGCATGAATCATCAGATGGTATGCCTTTAAAAAAAACTCTTTAAATTTTTATTAATTTAATAATAATAATTTTGAATTAAAAAAAAAGGATCCTTTGGAAGCACATTACGTGAACAAATTGACAAAAAACTTGTAAAATTACAAGAACCTCCACCAACCAAAGCGGTCAAACCTTTACCTGTTCCTGATGAAGGGCCAAAGAAAAGAAGAGCAGGAAAAAAGTATTTACGCTAATAAATAAATGAGTTCATTTGAATTTTTATAATATAATGATAATGATAATAATAATAATAATAATTTATAATAGAGTTCGTAGGATGAAGGAGGCATACGTTGTTACTGAGCTTCGTAAATCACAAAATAGAATGGCATTTGGTGTTCCAGAAGATGAAGCGTCATCATTTGATAAAACAAAGGGGTTGGGACTTATTGGACCAAATTCAGGAAAAATCCGATCGCCAGTTGCAGATCCTCGAGTCAAAGGTATACTCTATTCATTTATAATACAATATTATATTCAAAATATTCTTTATATAAACAATTATTTATTTTATTTAATTAATTAATTTAGCAAAAACACCAAGGAAACAACAATATATGGGATCTTCTGGTGCCACATCCGGTCTATCGTCATCATTGGCTTTCACACCGGTACAGGGAATTGAATTGATCAATCCAGAAGAAACACAAAGGAAAATCAAAGAAGCTAATGATAAATACTTTTCTGGTGGCCAATTCTTAAAAGTTGGAAGAGATAAACAACAACAAAAATGATCATATTAATATAAATAATTAGAAATCTATTTAATTCTAAAAAGAAATATACAATAGATGTTTTTAAAATTGCAAAATTAATTAATAAATCTCGTCGAAATTTTGAATTAATGTCCTAAAAATTGCATATGGTTGTCGAGACATTTTTACAGAGAAAATCAAAATTATTATAATATATCATTTCGAAGCTAGAATTTTTTCTCTTTACAATAATATTTCCAGTGATTATATTCGAATATGACCGATTCAAATTTAATTTGAATTTAATTCAATAAACCGAATATTGACATCTCGGATAAATATTCGAACTTCGAATTTAACGTGACAATTATTTAGGTTATAAAATATATATCCTTTTTTTTTCTTTAAAGTGTCAACCTCTTCTTTTTGTCTATCAATCCATACTCGCATTAAGAAGTGGTTTAAGTAATGTGACAAAGAATTTCATATTACACTATTATTAATATTAAGAGATCATAAAATTTTACGGCCCAGTGATAAACTATTTTTTTAAAAAAGTAGTTTCGCCCAATACTATGCTAACATTTTTTATAATAACAAACATATAATAAGTATCTAAATCAATCTAAAAACTTCAAAATAATTTTGCCAATTAATTTCGGCAATTTCGACCCACTAAGTAAAGTAGTTTCGGCCACCATCACTAACATAAACAAAAAGAAGAGGCAATAAACGTATTAATATAGAAATTTCGAAGTTCTTACAAAGAAAGAAAAAGATTATACGTTCCACAATAACTATTTATTATTTATTTATAGTTATAATAATTAGTATTATGTTAAGCTGAGGTCCTTTTTCAAAAGACTCTATACTCTAAACTTCTGTATGGTTGTTACTTTATGAGGATGTTGGCTAATAAGTTTTAGAGAAAGATTCAATCTTCTTCAATTTTATGTAGAACAGCAGAAAAGGTTTACTTTAAACATTCAAAAGAATTTATTTATTATCTAAATCTGTTATTTATAAAATAATCAGCATTATGGAATGAAATCATGCTCATGTATTGTTGATTATGCATTCATTCAAGGCAATAGCTATTTAACATACATTGTGATTTTGTTTTGTTTTACTTGTTTATTTAATATTCAATATAATAATTCTAGAGATTCACGTATAATAGTAGAAGAAATTTGTAAAACTAAGGCGCGAGAATCATTCTATTAAATAGATAATTTAAGAAATTGAATAAATAGAAAATAACAGTTGTACATATATATCATCATTCCGCTGTTTCATAACTGATAACAATAAATATCTAGATTATAATTGGAGTTTGATCCGGTTCCCTAAAAACGGTTTGAATCCAATTTCCGTTGTAGTAATAATAATAATAATAATAATAATAAGATTTGAATCGTTTAAAATCTTATTTAAACCGGGTTGACAAAAATAAACTGGATCCAAACCCTATTGACATCAGGAAATTTTTTCTGACGCGGATTTACATAATTATTACACTATTTATGTAAGCTTACAGCGGGCCCCATAATAAAATTATGCAATTATTACATTGGGTGTAAATATTACATAATTTTTTATATTAAAATTTATGGACGTAATATTACGGCGGGGAAAATTCCCTGATGTTACTATTTTGGATTACTAATAATAATCACAAAAAAAATAACAAGAAAAATTGAAATTTGTCCATTTTTCTAAACAAATAAAACAATTGGGAGTATTCAAAAGGAAAATGGGCTGCGATGGCAATTCAAACCAACACATCGTTTAGTGACCCAACGCAGCTATTGGATGAAAGCAAAACGAGAAAGTCTGAAGACCGAAGTAAACAGCTGGACTTTGTTGTTTTTATCATTAACCAATTACAAAAAAATGCCGTGATAATTGTGGATAGTTAGTCCGCCGTCAATGTATATAAAAACTGTAATGATTTCATCCGCCTTGGTGTTTTTATGAAGGACTGTCTAAATTCAAAGGTGCTGAGGTGAAGGTTTTGGATATAAATTTGACACTATTACATCATGGGATATCATTCAAGGAGCATATCATATGGCCAAGTGACAATTCTGGCTTCAATAAACAGATGTTGACGAAATAAAAATAATACTATATGCATGAATTCAAGATAGTGAGTGATCTCCCGATCTAAGGGATCGGCGGGTCGCATATATATTTAACCAATCCTTATCAACAGTGAAATTGCTTATTTGCAAATTTACAGTGCTGGTGAAAAAAGTTTTGAAGAATGGTGTTCTGTTATATCCTATACATGTGCATTGGATGACAAATAGCTTTGGAATCAAACAACAAATTCTTTTAAACTCAAGCACAAGAAGGAAAAGTTCACATAATAATAGTTTTTATACATGAGAAATTGCATTTGAAATCACGTTTTAAACAAATTTATATTAATATGAGAAACAAAAATATTTAAAAGTTCATTGTAACGCGGATTTAATTTATAATTCGCCGAAACAAATAATTTTTCATTGGATTAATTACACTTGTGTTGTTTTTTTTTTTGAATTATATTAGAAGCTATAATAAAGTTTAACTCATTAATATCTGGCGAGGTAAACATGTTGGTTACTATTTTTGACCAGTAAGCAATTCAAATAAAAATTTGTATATTTATTAATCTACAGAAGAATCCAGTTTTAATAAAATCAATCAATTGATCTTGCCAATATTCATGGAACCATGAAATTTTGGCTTTAACTTTGATTTTTATGTTCACACCAAACTCTCTTCCGATATTATGTATGGCCAATATTTTTTGTTTTAATTTATTAGATAAAGTAAATAAATAATAAACCAAAATAGTGCATTTATTGGACATAAGACATATTTAAGTGAATGAATGAATGACAATGGTATCGGAGTAAATTTAAGACATATCTGCTGAAATAAGCCAAAAATAGGCTAATAAACAGAATCAGGATTTGAACTAAATTTAGAAAAATCATGAATGAGTCACGGGATTATGCAAATTTGAATTCATCAAGTCCATTGTTAACAATTGTTTTTTTTTTTTTGTCTTTATTTGGTTTGCATTCAATAATCCCATTTATACTTATACAGTGAGGTCTCGATTAGCGGCCCTCGATTTAACGGTCTCTATTTTGAAAGTCAGATAAATTCTTTTTGATACAACAAAATTTTGGAATTGCCCTTATATTGTGTAGTGCCTATTCTTATTATTTCGATGCTCTTTTGATTTCTTGGAAAAGTTGCTTTGCTTGTTCACCAATTAGGAGTTTTTCCGTTAATCAATTTATATAAAAAATATTTAATTCACCAACACATATCTAACTTTTCGTTTTGTACAGGAAAGATTTTTGGTGGTTCCAAATAATAATAATAATAATAATAATAATAATAATAATGATGATGATGATGATGATGATGGTAACATTTTACCCAAAGATTATCAAAAATACAAAACTCAAAACAGATAAAAAATTTAATTGTTCTAATTAGTGATGATGATTTTTATGTGGGCTAAATTTAGTAAAAGGAAAATCTGTTATCATTATGTCACCACACTCAATAAAATTTCCCTTTACAAAAAACAAAAACTATATTAAAAATAAAAATATTTTATTCTAAATTCAAACAATTTTATGAAATTTCTCCTTTTTCCTACTTGTTATAATATAAATAAATATATAAATGGATCCTATTGAGGTGAAAAGTTAAAAATTACTTGAAAATATTATTTTTCAACATTTAATTAAAGTATGAATTGTTAAATAATAACAGTCTATAAGATGGTCCGTTTTGGAGAAATTCTCTAAAGTTGCGAGAATTTCACGAGAAACAGCTGGTATACGCATTTATATTTTTAGATTTTTATTTATTATTTCACATTAGAGAGAGACAGAACATATACGTTAATTAATTATTTAATTATCAAATTTTAGTACAAATCCTTGAGACTCCACTTGCACGACCAATAGTTCCATATCTCCCACCTGCTATAAATCAATTAATTCAACCAGAGTCTGAAGATAATTCCGTAAATGAATATGATGCTGGCAGAGTTTATCTTGCTAAATGGGCATTAAAAGTTGACGAAGAAGCAAGAGTAGCTGCACGTCAAGAATATTTAGCAAATCATGGTGAAGGTGAGGCATCATCAAATACTATAAGAAAAAGATGGTCAGATCCTAAATCATGGGAAGAAGAAACTGAGGTGGGCGCTTTTGAAGTTTTAAATGTACGAAAAACTTGATTTTATATGCTACGTATATATGTATATAATCTAATGTCATATTTATTATTCAAAAATGATTTTTTAATTTTTAATTTCATAATAATAATAATTTTAAAAAAAAGGTCGATTTAAATTATCCACCACTACTTTCAACACGATCTACTTCCCTTAGTCCTGAGAAATGGTTTTCATCATTGGATTCTGAGGGAAGATTAAAAGTTGAAGTTGATGAAATCCGTGAAATTATATTTCGTGGGGTAAATATTTTTACACATGTGATTTATTTAATATTAATTTATTTATCCTGCTTTTTTTATTTATTTAAAAATTTATATGGTTTAAATAATATACAGGGTATCGATGATGATATTCGTGTTGAACTTTGGAAATTTCTTTTGGGTGTGTATCCATGGGATTCAAGTCAAGCTGAACGAGAATATATAACACAAACAAAAGAGTAATAATTATTTATTATTTATTATTCATTATATTTATTAATTGGTTGATTGATGATTATTTTGTTTTTCAATTACATTTAATTAGAAAAGAATATTGGGATTTGAAAAGTAAATGGTGGGATTCAGTTGAAATACAAAATGAAGAAGATTTCAAAGAACAAAAAATTAGAATAGGTTGTTATTATTATTATTGTTGTTGTTGTTGTTATATTATTATATTATTATCATAATATAGTTCTTCAAAAATTATTATTGCTAAGAATACCAAGAAAATTTTACTTCATTTTAATAGAAAAAGATGTGATACGCACTGATCGTAGTAATTCTTTTTTTGCCGTAGAAGATATACCACATCCAGATCCATTATCTTCGGCATCATCACCATTTACAAATAAAAACCTTGAATTAATGAAAGATATTTTAATGACATATTATTATTATAATAAAGATCTTGGTTAGTTAATTTTATTTTTTATTTTTTGCTCGATAATATTAAAAAAATTTATAATAACAGTTATAATAATATTTTTTAAAGGTTATGTACAAGGAATGAGCGATTTACTTGCACCCATATTTGTCGTTATGCACGACGAAGCTCATGCATTCTGGGCATTTGTAGGATTTATGGAACGCATGGTAGATACCGCTAATTTCCTTCTTTCTTCCTTTTCAATAATTATCATTAACAATTAATTTTCTGAATATTTAACAAGATTTAATTATTATTGATTAAATAGAAATACAACTTTTATCGCGATCAATCTGGGATAAGACGTCAACTTTTAACATTAGATTATTTGATTCAATTTATGGACCCACGTCTTTATGAACATCTTCGTAAGTAATTATTAAATTAAATGATCATAAATTATAATTATCCATGTTAATTTTTATTTATCATCATTATTAGGAAAGACTGATGCATTAAATCTTTTCTTTTGTTTCCGATGGATTTTAATTTGGTTCAAAAGAGAATTTAAATGGGATGAAGTTTTACATTTATGGGAAGTTCTTTGGTCTGACCATTTATCCTCGCAGTTTCATTTATTTGTTGCTTTAGCAATTTTGGACAAACATAAAATGGCAATCGTTGAGCATTTACATCGTTTTGATGAAATATTAAAGGTATCATTCATGATTTATATTTTGCCAATATCATGAAAATTTATTAATTTAATTTAATGATATAATCATTATATATTTATATAGTATGTTAATGATCTATCAATGACAATTCCAATTGATGAAACTTTATTACGTGCCGAGACACTATTTAATAAATTTAAACGAAAAATTGAAATTCTCGATAAAAAAAATTCAACAACAAAATCATCATCAAATCAACAACAAAATGAAAATCATCATGATGGATTAAGGAAGCGTAAAGGTAAAGCAGCTGCTGAATCAAATGATAATAACAGCCAGGATGTTGGCGACGATAATAGTAATATCAATAATAATAATAATAATAATAATAATATTGGTTCATCACCGTCTTTGTTATCACCACCATCATCTTCGTCATCATCATCTTCGTCACCATCATCTTCAAGTACCACCAATAATATTAATGGTAACTCACAAATGCCAATAGTACACGATTCGTTAAGAGGACTGCTCAGCAGAGAATTGACTAAATACGAATAACAGTAATAATAATAGTAATAATTATAAGTATTGTTATTATTATTATGTAAATTTATTACATATTTATTATTGTGTCATTGATTATTTAGAATATACAAATAAAAAGATTGATATTTAAAGATATCAATATATGTAATATATATATTTAAAAAAATACATATTAATAAATAATTATTTTAAGCAGTTTATATATTAATATTAATATTAATAATCCGTTTATTCTTAAATCAATTTCCAATTTGGTTAGCGTCCCGCTTTTTATTATGGATGGGCCAAAAACCCTACTATTACATGAATTTTACAATTCACGTTAAATTCGCACCCATATTTGATTTCAAATTCACAATGTAGAATTTTCAGTCAGGCCACCAACAGAAGATTAGTTATTGCCGCTATTACTCCGGCTTTATTTTTATTTTTATTTTTATATTTCTTATTCCAAAAAGAAATGCGGCTGCGCCGCGTCTTTTTGGGATTTGAAATCTTCGTTTTAAGCAGTGTATGAAGAGGCAAACGGCTGCTAAGGCCTCAAATCTGTGCTGTGCTCTGGAACATACTGTTTAGAGTTGAGGAACTTTTAGTTATCATTCGCGCATAGACTTCAATATTTATGGTTATTTATGACTATTAGAAATACTTGCGATTATTCGAATACTTATTATTATTATTATTATTATTATTATTATTATTATTATGGCTATTCAAAAATATTTGACTTCCATTATTTACCCCTTTTGGAAATTATATATAGTATAAATATTCAAATTTGATTGATGAAAGAGAAGAGGAAGGGGGAGAAGAAGAAGAAGACGACGATGACGATGATGAAAATGTTGATCAAGAAAAAGAAAAACAAACTGCAGATATGAAAGAGATCAAAGATGTTAGAAAAGTAGCAAAACTACTTGGCTCAAAGATATTAAAAGATATTTTGGCTGTTAGTATATATTATATATGTGTGTTTCGTTTGAATTTAATCGAAATAACATGCATGAATTTTTTTTTAAAAAAAAAAAATCATAATGATTTAAATAATAGAGAATAAAACAACTTAGGCATACGAACAGAACTCAAGCACAAATAATTGGTCCTGTGGAAGAAGATCCAGAGTATGAACTTATAGTTCAAGCTAATAATATAACCGTTGATATTGATAATGAAATATTAGTCGTACATAAGGTATAAAAATTTTAATTTTTTTTGGTGGGAAAAATAAATAACATTTAACAATAACAAATAATATTTTTTTGTTATACATAGTTTATAAGAGATCATTATGCAAAAAAATTTCCCGAATTGGAATCATTAGTTCTTAATCCTTATGATTACACTAGAGCAGTTAAAGCTATTGGAAATGAAATGGTTAGTATTTATTAATTTTTATATTAATTAATTAATACGTATATATGTATGCGTTACATTCGTAGGATTATTCTATATCGTTTTTTTTTAAAAAAATAGACAAAAACATTTACCAAACATCAACAACACCATCATTGGTCCAATTTGCATTATTTTATAGGATTTGACTAAAATAGATCTGAGATCGATTCTTCCATCTGCTACTGTCATGGTAGTAACTGTTACCGGATCAACAACTAATGGTCAACAATTAACAGAAGAAGAGAATACAATCGTGAGTGATGCATGTGATATGGTATTGGAATTGGATTCTGCTAAACGAGAGGTTTGTAATTAATTAGATATGCGCTTACTTGTTTATTTGTTTATTTACATTTTTATATTTATTTTAGAATGATGGATTATTTAAAGTTATATAAATTCATAAATAAATAAACGTATTTATATTATTATTTATTGTAAAGATATTAGAATATGTTGATTCTCGTATGACACTTATTGCTCCCAATCTATCAGCGATTGTTGGAAGCACGACTGCAGCCAAAATATTAGGACAAGCTGGTGGATTAACGGCTCTTTGTAAAATGCCGGCTTGTAATGTAATGCTTATTGGTACACAAAAAAAGTTGAACACCGGATTTTCAAATGTGACAGCACCTAGACATACGGGATATTTATACCAATCAGAATTGATTCAGAGAACGCCGACTGATTTAAGAACTAAAGCTCAAAAGATTGTTGCTGCAAAGTAAGAAGTAACTTGCTTGTTCTTGATTATCAAATTGATGATCGTTCATTTGGCATTTTAAGAAACTCTTATTTTTAATATGTGATTTTAGATGTACTTTGGCAGCAAGAATGGACCGAATGCATGAATCATCAGATGGTATGCCTTTAAAAAAAACTCTTTAAATTTTTATTAATTTAATAATAATAATTTTGAATTAAAAAAAAAGGATCCTTTGGAAGCACATTACGTGAACAAATTGACAAAAAACTTGTAAAATTACAAGAACCTCCACCAACCAAAGCGGTCAAACCTTTACCTGTTCCTGATGAAGGGCCAAAGAAAAGAAGAGCAGGAAAAAAGTATTTACGCTAATAAATAAATGAGTTCATTTGAATTTTTATAATATAATGATAATGATAATAATAATAATAATAATTTATAATAGAGTTCGTAGGATGAAGGAGGCATACGTTGTTACTGAGCTTCGTAAATCACAAAATAGAATGGCATTTGGTGTTCCAGAAGATGAAGCGTCATCATTTGATAAAACAAAGGGGTTGGGACTTATTGGACCAAATTCAGGAAAAATCCGATCGCCAGTTGCAGATCCTCGAGTCAAAGGTATACTCTATTCATTTATAATACAATATTATATTCAAAATATTCTTTATATAAACAATTATTTATTTTATTTAATTAATTAATTTAGCAAAAACACCAAGGAAACAACAATATATGGGATCTTCTGGTGCCACATCCGGTCTATCGTCATCATTGGCTTTCACACCGGTACAGGGAATTGAATTGATCAATCCAGAAGAAACACAAAGGAAAATCAAAGAAGCTAATGATAAATACTTTTCTGGTGGCCAATTCTTAAAAGTTGGAAGAGATAAACAACAACAAAAATGATCATATTAATATAAATAATTAGAAATCTATTTAATTCTAAAAAGAAATATACAATAGATGTTTTTAAAATTGCAAAATTAATTAATAAATCTCGTCGAAATTTTGAATTAATGTCCTAAAAATTGCATATGGTTGTCGAGACATTTTTACAGAGAAAATCAAAATTATTATAATATATCATTTCGAAGCTAGAATTTTTTCTCTTTACAATAATATTTCCAGTGATTATATTCGAATATGACCGATTCAAATTTAATTTGAATTTAATTCAATAAACCGAATATTGACATCTCGGATAAATATTCGAACTTCGAATTTAACGTGACAATTATTTAGGTTATAAAATATATATCCTTTTTTTTTCTTTAAAGTGTCAACCTCTTCTTTTTGTCTATCAATCCATACTCGCATTAAGAAGTGGTTTAAGTAATGTGACAAAGAATTTCATATTACACTATTATTAATATTAAGAGATCATAAAATTTTACGGCCCAGTGATAAACTATTTTTTTAAAAAAGTAGTTTCGCCCAATACTATGCTAACATTTTTTATAATAACAAACATATAATAAGTATCTAAATCAATCTAAAAACTTCAAAATAATTTTGCCAATTAATTTCGGCAATTTCGACCCACTAAGTAAAGTAGTTTCGGCCACCATCACTAACATAAACAAAAAGAAGAGGCAATAAACGTATTAATATAGAAATTTCGAAGTTCTTACAAAGAAAGAAAAAGATTATACGTTCCACAATAACTATTTATTATTTATTTATAGTTATAATAATTAGTATTATGTTAAGCTGAGGTCCTTTTTCAAAAGACTCTATACTCTAAACTTCTGTATGGTTGTTACTTTATGAGGATGTTGGCTAATAAGTTTTAGAGAAAGATTCAATCTTCTTCAATTTTATGTAGAACAGCAGAAAAGGTTTACTTTAAACATTCAAAAGAATTTATTTATTATCTAAATCTGTTATTTATAAAATAATCAGCATTATGGAATGAAATCATGCTCATGTATTGTTGATTATGCATTCATTCAAGGCAATAGCTATTTAACATACATTGTGATTTTGTTTTGTTTTACTTGTTTATTTAATATTCAATATAATAATTCTAGAGATTCACGTATAATAGTAGAAGAAATTTGTAAAACTAAGGCGCGAGAATCATTCTATTAAATAGATAATTTAAGAAATTGAATAAATAGAAAATAACAGTTGTACATATATATCATCATTCCGCTGTTTCATAACTGATAACAATAAATATCTAGATTATAATTGGAGTTTGATCCGGTTCCCTAAAAACGGTTTGAATCCAATTTCCGTTGTAGTAATAATAATAATAATAATAATAATAAGATTTGAATCGTTTAAAATCTTATTTAAACCGGGTTGACAAAAATAAACTGGATCCAAACCCTATTGACATCAGGAAATTTTTTCTGACGCGGATTTACATAATTATTACACTATTTATGTAAGCTTACAGCGGGCCCCATAATAAAATTATGCAATTATTACATTGGGTGTAAATATTACATAATTTTTTATATTAAAATTTATGGACGTAATATTACGGCGGGGAAAATTCCCTGATGTTACTATTTTGGATTACTAATAATAATCACAAAAAAAATAACAAGAAAAATTGAAATTTGTCCATTTTTCTAAACAAATAAAACAATTGGGAGTATTCAAAAGGAAAATGGGCTGCGATGGCAATTCAAACCAACACATCGTTTAGTGACCCAACGCAGCTATTGGATGAAAGCAAAACGAGAAAGTCTGAAGACCGAAGTAAACAGCTGGACTTTGTTGTTTTTATCATTAACCAATTACAAAAAAATGCCGTGATAATTGTGGATAGTTAGTCCGCCGTCAATGTATATAAAAACTGTAATGATTTCATCCGCCTTGGTGTTTTTATGAAGGACTGTCTAAATTCAAAGGTGCTGAGGTGAAGGTTTTGGATATAAATTTGACACTATTACATCATGGGATATCATTCAAGGAGCATATCATATGGCCAAGTGACAATTCTGGCTTCAATAAACAGATGTTGACGAAATAAAAATAATACTATATGCATGAATTCAAGATAGTGAGTGATCTCCCGATCTAAGGGATCGGCGGGTCGCATATATATTTAACCAATCCTTATCAACAGTGAAATTGCTTATTTGCAAATTTACAGTGCTGGTGAAAAAAGTTTTGAAGAATGGTGTTCTGTTATATCCTATACATGTGCATTGGATGACAAATAGCTTTGGAATCAAACAACAAATTCTTTTAAACTCAAGCACAAGAAGGAAAAGTTCACATAATAATAGTTTTTATACATGAGAAATTGCATTTGAAATCACGTTTTAAACAAATTTATATTAATATGAGAAACAAAAATATTTAAAAGTTCATTGTAACGCGGATTTAATTTATAATTCGCCGAAACAAATAATTTTTCATTGGATTAATTACACTTGTGTTGTTTTTTTTTTTGAATTATATTAGAAGCTATAATAAAGTTTAACTCATTAATATCTGGCGAGGTAAACATGTTGGTTACTATTTTTGACCAGTAAGCAATTCAAATAAAAATTTGTATATTTATTAATCTACAGAAGAATCCAGTTTTAATAAAATCAATCAATTGATCTTGCCAATATTCATGGAACCATGAAATTTTGGCTTTAACTTTGATTTTTATGTTCACACCAAACTCTCTTCCGATATTATGTATGGCCAATATTTTTTGTTTTAATTTATTAGATAAAGTAAATAAATAATAAACCAAAATAGTGCATTTATTGGACATAAGACATATTTAAGTGAATGAATGAATGACAATGGTATCGGAGTAAATTTAAGACATATCTGCTGAAATAAGCCAAAAATAGGCTAATAAACAGAATCAGGATTTGAACTAAATTTAGAAAAATCATGAATGAGTCACGGGATTATGCAAATTTGAATTCATCAAGTCCATTGTTAACAATTGTTTTTTTTTTTTTGTCTTTATTTGGTTTGCATTCAATAATCCCATTTATACTTATACAGTGAGGTCTCGATTAGCGGCCCTCGATTTAACGGTCTCTATTTTGAAAGTCAGATAAATTCTTTTTGATACAACAAAATTTTGGAATTGCCCTTATATTGTGTAGTGCCTATTCTTATTATTTCGATGCTCTTTTGATTTCTTGGAAAAGTTGCTTTGCTTGTTCACCAATTAGGAGTTTTTCCGTTAATCAATTTATATAAAAAATATTTAATTCACCAACACATATCTAACTTTTCGTTTTGTACAGGAAAGATTTTTGGTGGTTCCAAATAATAATAATAATAATAATAATAATAATAATAATGATGATGATGATGATGATGATGGTAACATTTTACCCAAAGATTATCAAAAATACAAAACTCAAAACAGATAAAAAATTTAATTGTTCTAATTAGTGATGATGATTTTTATGTGGGCTAAATTTAGTAAAAGGAAAATCTGTTATCATTATGTCACCACACTCAATAAAATTTCCCTTTACAAAAAACAAAAACTATATTAAAAATAAAAATATTTTATTCTAAATTCAAACAATTTTATGAAATTTCTCCTTTTTCCTACTTGTTATAATATAAATAAATATATAAATGGATCCTATTGAGGTGAAAAGTTAAAAATTACTTGAAAATATTATTTTTCAACATTTAATTAAAGTATGAATTGTTAAATAATAACAGTCTATAAGATGGTCCGTTTTGGAGAAATTCTCTAAAGTTGCGAGAATTTCACGAGAAACAGCTGGTATACGCATTTATATTTTTAGATTTTTATTTATTATTTCACATTAGAGAGAGACAGAACATATACGTTAATTAATTATTTAATTATCAAATTTTAGTACAAATCCTTGAGACTCCACTTGCACGACCAATAGTTCCATATCTCCCACCTGCTATAAATCAATTAATTCAACCAGAGTCTGAAGATAATTCCGTAAATGAATATGATGCTGGCAGAGTTTATCTTGCTAAATGGGCATTAAAAGTTGACGAAGAAGCAAGAGTAGCTGCACGTCAAGAATATTTAGCAAATCATGGTGAAGGTGAGGCATCATCAAATACTATAAGAAAAAGATGGTCAGATCCTAAATCATGGGAAGAAGAAACTGAGGTGGGCGCTTTTGAAGTTTTAAATGTACGAAAAACTTGATTTTATATGCTACGTATATATGTATATAATCTAATGTCATATTTATTATTCAAAAATGATTTTTTAATTTTTAATTTCATAATAATAATAATTTTAAAAAAAAGGTCGATTTAAATTATCCACCACTACTTTCAACACGATCTACTTCCCTTAGTCCTGAGAAATGGTTTTCATCATTGGATTCTGAGGGAAGATTAAAAGTTGAAGTTGATGAAATCCGTGAAATTATATTTCGTGGGGTAAATATTTTTACACATGTGATTTATTTAATATTAATTTATTTATCCTGCTTTTTTTATTTATTTAAAAATTTATATGGTTTAAATAATATACAGGGTATCGATGATGATATTCGTGTTGAACTTTGGAAATTTCTTTTGGGTGTGTATCCATGGGATTCAAGTCAAGCTGAACGAGAATATATAACACAAACAAAAGAGTAATAATTATTTATTATTTATTATTCATTATATTTATTAATTGGTTGATTGATGATTATTTTGTTTTTCAATTACATTTAATTAGAAAAGAATATTGGGATTTGAAAAGTAAATGGTGGGATTCAGTTGAAATACAAAATGAAGAAGATTTCAAAGAACAAAAAATTAGAATAGGTTGTTATTATTATTATTGTTGTTGTTGTTGTTATATTATTATATTATTATCATAATATAGTTCTTCAAAAATTATTATTGCTAAGAATACCAAGAAAATTTTACTTCATTTTAATAGAAAAAGATGTGATACGCACTGATCGTAGTAATTCTTTTTTTGCCGTAGAAGATATACCACATCCAGATCCATTATCTTCGGCATCATCACCATTTACAAATAAAAACCTTGAATTAATGAAAGATATTTTAATGACATATTATTATTATAATAAAGATCTTGGTTAGTTAATTTTATTTTTTATTTTTTGCTCGATAATATTAAAAAAATTTATAATAACAGTTATAATAATATTTTTTAAAGGTTATGTACAAGGAATGAGCGATTTACTTGCACCCATATTTGTCGTTATGCACGACGAAGCTCATGCATTCTGGGCATTTGTAGGATTTATGGAACGCATGGTAGATACCGCTAATTTCCTTCTTTCTTCCTTTTCAATAATTATCATTAACAATTAATTTTCTGAATATTTAACAAGATTTAATTATTATTGATTAAATAGAAATACAACTTTTATCGCGATCAATCTGGGATAAGACGTCAACTTTTAACATTAGATTATTTGATTCAATTTATGGACCCACGTCTTTATGAACATCTTCGTAAGTAATTATTAAATTAAATGATCATAAATTATAATTATCCATGTTAATTTTTATTTATCATCATTATTAGGAAAGACTGATGCATTAAATCTTTTCTTTTGTTTCCGATGGATTTTAATTTGGTTCAAAAGAGAATTTAAATGGGATGAAGTTTTACATTTATGGGAAGTTCTTTGGTCTGACCATTTATCCTCGCAGTTTCATTTATTTGTTGCTTTAGCAATTTTGGACAAACATAAAATGGCAATCGTTGAGCATTTACATCGTTTTGATGAAATATTAAAGGTATCATTCATGATTTATATTTTGCCAATATCATGAAAATTTATTAATTTAATTTAATGATATAATCATTATATATTTATATAGTATGTTAATGATCTATCAATGACAATTCCAATTGATGAAACTTTATTACGTGCCGAGACACTATTTAATAAATTTAAACGAAAAATTGAAATTCTCGATAAAAAAAATTCAACAACAAAATCATCATCAAATCAACAACAAAATGAAAATCATCATGATGGATTAAGGAAGCGTAAAGGTAAAGCAGCTGCTGAATCAAATGATAATAACAGCCAGGATGTTGGCGACGATAATAGTAATATCAATAATAATAATAATAATAATAATAATATTGGTTCATCACCGTCTTTGTTATCACCACCATCATAATAGCATGAATACATTTCGAAAAAATGCCGAACAAATATCATCTCTTAATTACAATCAACTTCCCCCTCATTTACACGGTAATTAATTTAAAGAATAAAAATTTTTTTCGTTTAACATGAAACTGATAATTGGTATTTATTTATTTAATAATATCCAGAGGTTATGTTTCATCTTATAACACGTTATCCTTCTCAAAGAATGAACGCAACAGAATTTCAATCAAGCAAATATTTTGATAACATTTTAGTTTCTACTGTAAAATTTTTTGAAAGCTTCCCAGAAAAAAGTAATGATGACAAAGCAAATTTCATGAAGGGACTAATACGTATTTTACCACAATTTCCAGAAAGAGTATTGTTAAGAAAGGTACAACGCACAATTTTATAATTATATTTTTTTTATTTCAATTAATATTAAAAACTTTCCCTTAAATTTATTAATAATATGTAGATTTTGCCATGTCTTATTCAAGAACTTAAAGATCAGAATCTTCTTCCATTTATTTTGCCAAATATATTTTTTATTTCACAAAAAATTCAACTTGATGATTTTTATGAAAAAATTTTGAAGCCACTTAAGCCAGTTTTTGCTATATCTGAACCTATGCAAAGCATGATTATTTGTTTAGATAAAATAGATTTATTTAAATCAAAAACGTCGACGTCTATTTTTAAAGAGGGTAAGGCTATTTTTAATATATATCTATATATTTTTTTTGTTTTTATCATGGTATTTAAATTTTAAAAACAAAAAAAATTATTTTTTGCATTTTTAAGATGTCATGCCATTAATTTATTTTGCGTTAGAGGCAAAATCTCCAGCAATACAAGAAAAAGCTCTTAGAGTTGTACCTAATGTATTAGACAGGTTAGATATTACTACAGTAAAATCTTCATTATTTCCAAGGATTCAGGTTATTACAGACTAGATTTCTCTAAAATAAATACACACACACATATTATGAATGATTAACTGAATTTATTTCTGCCATACATTTTTAGAATCTATTTGTTCATACAACAATTTTGGCAGTAAAAGTTACAACATTAACTTGTTTACAAACATTAATAAAATCATTGGATAATGTATTTTGAAAGTTTTTTTGACATAAAAATTATTTCTATTATTATTAACATTAATTTTTCTCCTTTTTAAAGTTTACAATGACTGAAAAATTAATGCCTTTATTAAGAGGAATTAAAACAAAGGAGCCCTCTGTGATGGTAAAATAACATAAATATAATTGACATTCAATTGATATGATTAGTAATATATTTTTTTTTGTACTTTATTAGGTTAATACTCTTGCTGTTTATGAAGAAATGGGTAAAAATATGGAAAAGGATGTATTAGCAACAGAAATTATACCGCATCTATGGAAATTATCAATCGTTCCCACTTTAAATCTTGAACAGGCAAGCTAAATTCATATAAATATTTCTTATTAAAAAAAAAAAAAAGAATGATCTTTTATATTTTGTAAATTTTTATTATTTATAGTTTCAAAAATTCATGAAAGTTATCAAAGGATTAAGTCAAAAAGTTGAAAATTTGCATTCACGCCAATTACAAGATATTAGAAGCATCGAAGATAATTCTAAAAAACATTTGGAAGGTGGTAAAGGTAATTTGATTTAATACATATGTCTATATAATTATCTTTAAATATTTAAATATTCGGTCAGTTAAGCTAAATAATTTATTTATTGATGTGCAGGTACCAATGACGAAAAAAGCGTTCCAGTTGATTTTGAAAAACTAGTTGGTTCTACCGGTAGTGGTGATATAAATAATAATTATTCTTCAGCAGGAGGCAATATAGGATCAATTGAAATATCACCGGATCCTTTTGATAAACCAGGGGCTAATTCAGTTCCAATTTTTATTTCATCGTTAGCTTCTTCAAATAAGGTAAATTATAGAAAGGTTATTAATAAAAATCATTATTATAATTAAATTTCTAATTTGTATGGTTTCTATTTATTTAAAATAGACTTCGCAATTCACTTCTAAACTATTGCCACCAACAACAACTTCAAATAATATTCAAGCATCTTTTCCTGCTCTTAATTCTTTAAAAGCAAATTATTCTACAGCACAAAATTTGAATAATGGCTTTTCAACTAATACTACTAACAACAGTGCTACCATTACTACCACCATTACTCAACAAAATAATAATAATAATAATAATAATAGTCAGTTATTGAATAAAATAAAACCACCACATTCGTCATCATCGATAATAAACAGTATTCCATCAATACCACCTCCAAAGAATTCAACTCCAATAATATTGAGTAATTATAATTTAGGAAATAATTCAACAACTCTAAATTCATTTGGATCCTTAAATAATTTATATAACTCAACCACACCTAGTTTAAATAATAACAATATTAATAAACCACCATCAGAATTTAAATTTAATGCTTTTTCTTGTATTGCTGGAGATTTTGCCTCTAACGCAAAATAAATTAATGGCATGACATCTTAAAAATGCAAAAAATAATTTTTTTTGTTTTTAAAATTTAAATACCATGATAAAAACAAAAAAAATATATAGATATATATTAAAAATAGCCTTACCCTCTTTAAAAATAGACGTCGACGTTTTTGATTTAAATAAATCTATTTTATCTAAACAAATAATCATGCTTTGCATAGGTTCAGATATAGCAAAAACTGGCTTAAGTGGCTTCAAAATTTTTTCATAAAAATCATCAAGTTGAATTTTTTGTGAAATAAAAAATATATTTGGCAAAATAAATGGAAGAAGATTCTGATCTTTAAGTTCTTGAATAAGACATGGCAAAATCTACATATTATTAATAAATTTAAGGGAAAGTTTTTAATATTAATTGAAATAAAAAAAATATAATTATAAAATTGTGCGTTGTACCTTTCTTAACAATACTCTTTCTGGAAATTGTGGTAAAATACGTATTAGTCCCTTCATGAAATTTGCTTTGTCATCATTACTTTTTTCTGGGAAGCTTTCAAAAAATTTTACAGTAGAAACTAAAATGTTATCAAAATATTTGCTTGATTGAAATTCTGTTGCGTTCATTCTTTGAGAAGGATAACGTGTTATAAGATGAAACATAACCTCTGGATATTATTAAATAAATAAATACCAATTATCAGTTTCATGTTAAACGAAAAAAATTTTTATTCTTTAAATTAATTACCGTGTAAATGAGGGGGAAGTTGATTGTAATTAAGAGATGATATTTGTTCGGCATTTTTTCGAAATGTATTCATGCTATTATGATGTTGTAATGGTCCTTTTCCATGATTGTGTACTGTGTATATTAAGCATCCAAGAGCAAACATGTCATTTGCAAAATCAACATTTTCATCCAATGCATACTCCGGTGCTGATATATAAACTCGTTTAATTAAAAAAAATCATCAAAAGTGTTCATTACTGCAATATATATACTCTAATTACCCATAAAATCATAATTTTTTTGTGCATAAGCCGGTATACGTGAATCAAAATCAGGATAATCGTAAACTGAAGAATTTTCAATGTTATTTAAATAAACACTAAATCCAAATCTAAACCGATTCAAAAATAAAATTTGTTGAGATTAATCTTTCATCCATTGAAAAAATATATAAACTCTTATAAAAATTATTTACCCTCCGATTTTCCAATCACCCTAATTGTCAAACCAAAAAAAAAATTATAGACTTTCAATTTTATTATAAACCATTTCGATTATAAACAAACGAATATTTATATATATTATTTATTACCTTTACGTTAACAAATATTGCTTCCGGGACAAGATTTGAGTGTACAATTTTGGCGTCATTATGACAAAACTGTAAACCTTTTCCAATTTGTAATAATCCTTTCTGTATCTAAATAAATTTATTTATTTGTAAATATTTAAAGACTTTTAATAATTTAAAGATTGTAATGTTTCTTTATAAATATTTTCATTACGAAAAATTTTTTTAATAATAAATTAGTTAACATTAACCTCTAATTCATCCATTTCAAATTTTCTGATATCATCGGGAATAGGTGACAAGTTGTCGTAATTACCAAGTAAATTTGAAAGTGACGCTATAATTGGTTCTGTTGCAAATGTAATAACAGTCCTTGACTCTTCAACTGCTTCTACTACTTCAAGAATTGATGGATGCCTTAATCTAGAAAGTTGGCTAGCCTAAAAATATATAAAATTCTAAAATAAATTACAAAGCTTGATATATTAAATATTATCTTTTAAATAGGAACCTCTTTTTTTAAAACTGAATATACTCGATCTGATTCTCTTTTATCAGTAACTTTTCTTAATGGATTTTCTAAAATCTTTTTTTCAAACATCTGAGTAAATTTATTAAAATCAATCAATATTATATTTTCCAAAAAACATTTAATATCATTAAAACAAAAGAAAAACACCCACAAATACAGAAACTTTTTGACCAGTTGTTTTTTTTGTCCCTGTAGTTAAAAATGAATGAGAAATGCAAATTGTTTATTATAAGATCTTAGAAAAGTAAATATATCCATCTACCTGAATATATTTTCCATAGACCGGCACTTGCAATTTGTTCGCCAAGTTCATACTGGCGAAGTACAGATGTTCCAGCAACGTATGAAACGACTATTAAGCAATAATATTATCAACCAATATTTCAATTATAAAACAAAATAATAAAGGTTGCAAATTGTAGATTAATTAAAAATACCAAGCCTCGTTTATTTTTTTTATACCTTGTTGAAGCATGTTTGAAAAATTCTGTTTAAAATTTTTTTTTTTAAATTCTAATCTGGTATGAAAAGTAAATTATAAGGTAATAAAAATTTGAAATGAGTTTCTGTACTTGAAAGATCTAAATAAACTTGATTCTTTTTTAATTATTTGTTTTAAATTTTAATGATTTTTCGATAATCCAATTACTATTATATACATTACATGTGTTTCACCAAATTAAAACTTTTGGAGCGTCAGCTCTAACATAAAACTTATTTGTTTAAAAACCATAATATAACAAATATATTTATTAATATTAAACAACAATTCGTAAAATTCCGAAATATTTTGTTTTCTTTAATTGGAAGTCATGAATAATTAATGATTCAGGCCTAATATTCTCTATTAAGGATGGAAGGAATCAGTTTACCATCTTTAATAACAAAAGTTTTACAATATTATATATATACGGACAGGGATGTTTTCTAGCAAAATATGGTTATATCAAAAATTATTTTTCGTAAATATAAAATCTATATTTAATATATAAAAATCGTTGAAACAAGGGTTGAATGTGGAGTTTTTGGAACATTCTGTGAGGCTTTGGATAATCGAGAGGCTTTAACATTCTCCTTAACAATAATCCAGAGCCGTGTTCTCCTAAAATTTAATGCATCACCATATTATCAGGAATTGGTTTATACGTTAGAAGGATGAGAATAATTGCAATGTTTTAAAAACTTAAGCATTGAAGTATAATTTTCAATGTCTAATGCTCAAACGGATCATTTTGTTGTTCCGGATTTCTAAGAGCAGTTTTCCATGAGATACAATAGTTATGTTGCTTTGACGCTTTTAATGATTACGCAAAACAAATATAGTGATAGGAATCTTGAAGACATCACTCCATGTTTTGTTTGTTTTATAAAAAAAAGGGATTTCTTTCCGTGTTTCCATAATAATATTAATATTCGTAATTATTTCGGATACTCGTAATTATTTCGGGTGCTTGTAATTATTTTGAATGCCCATTATTTCAGATATTTGATAAATTCTAACAAACTATTATTAATTTTTTCTTGTTCTTTAATTGATAAAGTTTCTCTTTTGGACATCATCAATTTGATTGTTTATTTCAAGCTATATCAAAAAATTATTAATAAATTATATCATCACACAAATCAAAAAATTACCATCATTTTTTATCAAGTGTAAAAATATTATGACGCTTTAAAAATGATTTATACAATTGAAGTATTAGGAAAATTTTTTTGCAAATTCCTTATCTTTATTATCTTTGAAAAATGTTTGTTATATAGTCAATACTATTTGTTATCAATTGATAATATTCAAAATAAATACGTGGGGTGGCTGAAAAGTAATGAGAAAATAGCTTTATTTCAAAAACTTTATTACAACTTTTAAAAAATTTT